AGTGATGAAGACTCTGAAGACAAGGGTTCTTTGAGTAAGCTTTGAAAGATTCAAAGACATAGGTTTTTAAGATGCAAAGTTTTAATCCTTCTACAATATGCATCATCAACATACAAATCAGAAGTCTCTGAAGATATATAAGACAAAGATCAAAACTAGGGATTGAGTGTGATGGTGAGTATACCAGTACAAAGTACGATGTGATCCCTCTCTAATAGGGCGGCGTCGAGATAAACCTTTTATACTTGTTTACCATTTCCATCATGACCGTTGGGAACAAAACAATTGCATTTGTGTTTCCCATTCTACACTTCAACAAATCTGTTTTTTAGTTATAAAAGGAGGACTTGGAAGAATTTGAAATTAATGAATCGGTTCAAATAAAACTACGCTAAAGCGCTGCACAAACTCTTTTGAGCTATTCTTTGTATAGTTTTGTAAATATGCAAGGAGATTTTGTTCGTATCTTGTTATCAACACTTTTGTTTTGTTGTAATTAAACATTGTGTAATCTTCTTATTAGAAGCATCTCTTTATACACATATTTATAAATCAAGGGTTGTTGATAGGTTCCTGGAAATACTTTGTCACTACAAAAAATAACGTTTTTCATAACGGAGATTTCGTCTACAACATGCTAAAAACCGAGAGGATATGTCATGGGAGTGCAATGTTTTATTTTTTAATAAGATAAACATCATGTTACGTCGGCGTTATAAAAAACCAAGGTAACACAGCTATAAGTTAGCGTCTTTTTTCCATAAAAAAATGAATAAACCTTTTATCTCAGTTTTCTTGAGAATCAAGGTAATATAGCTATAAGGAACCTCACTTTGAATTCCAGTTTCTGCATTTAAAACTTTTTCAACGATTTATCACTTGGTGTCTTTTCTAGATCCTAGGTTTTTTTTGTTAAGTAGTAATTCTCAAAAACTTTGTTTAACAAGAATAGGAAATAATAGAAAAAAGAAATATTCCATTGATAATAAAAAAACAACACAACAAAGTAAACTACTCAACAATTTCAAACTTCTTATTCCACTCAACTTCAACATCAACCCTAACTATCCCTAACTTATAGAAAAGTTCAGAAAGAACTCTTCCATAAGATATGAGAAAAGTTGTTTCCTCCCAAGATGTCTTTATCATTTCCTTTAAGAAGTTGAAAATGGTAAGTGGAAGATTAACTCTCATGTTGTAGGTGAGGAATAACAAGAGATTTTTGTCGTACGAAGTAAGCGTTTCCAGGTCTTTCTCTCTTGGGAGGAGATTTGTCACTAGAAGTTGAAACCAAAATTTTGCATTTGGGATTAGAGAAGCATGACTTGAGAGATTATTTTGGTTGACATAAAGTATATGAAGGTGGGTTTCATAAACACAGTTGAATTCATAATGTTCAACACAACTATCAAATAATTCATAGTTGATTGTCATAGAAATCAATAATGGAGTAATATATAAATAAGTGAAATTGACATAGGATTGGATGATTTCTTCATGACCAGCTGGCACAACAGATGCATTCGTCCATAACTCTTTAATGAGGTTAGTGTATATGAGGCCATGTAGAATGTTAAAGTAATCATTCAACTTTTGTTTGTCAATAACTTTCCTAAACTTTTGTTTTAAAACGTTTGAAATCATTGAAATCAACATACTTTTCATAGATAACAAACAACAATTTTGCATCCATTTTTTATCAAGGACTTTGAAACAAGGAAATAAAGATTTGTTAATGAACATTGAAATAGGAAAAGACTTTGAAACAATGAGTTGGTAATTATTCATTTAAATAGATCAAAAGCCTCATTGATATTCCAAAAGAGACATCACGACTTGAATATAGATGATCATTGCTATTCTAGCTAAGTGATATGATTCCAATGCATGTGTGCCACATAGGTGTTCTAATATCTCTTTTAATTGTATTTTTTATTTGTAATATAAATGTTCTAACTCGTAGATTTTCCAAAAAAACCGAGCGAACATTTAACATTAAAATTGAGTGCTAAAATTAGAACCTCTATTTTAATTGTAGTTTTTATTTGTAAAATAAATGTTCTAACCCGCCGGTTTTCCTAAAAACTGAGGTAACATTTTGCGTTAAAATTGATATATTTATCAAATCCTTAATCAAATATTTATCGTACATTTCATGACTATCAATGCTCAAGACATTACCATTAGTAATCCACGTGAAACATAAATAACTTAAATTATAAAAGCATTATGAATATCAAAAATTGATAACGACTATCCCTCACTTTAAGATTTGCAAGAGTGTTTGTCATGAAGAGTTCCCTATGATGGATTACAATAGAAGAAAATTATTTGGAGTTAAGGTTTGTGTTCATAAATATTTATTTGAACAGAAAATTATTTATGTAACCCTTTTTTTGTTCATATCATAAACAAATACAAGAAAAATAAATTGAAAATATTTTGTTTCCCAGAAGATCCGTAACTAAATATTTAAGAATAAAAAATTATTTTGGTGTAAGGTTTGCAAGAGTGTTTGTCATGAATAGTTCTCTATGATGGATTGCAAGAGCAGAAAATTATTAGAGTGTAAGGTTTGTGTTCTTAAGTATTTATTTGAGTAGAAAATTATTTATTTATCTAACCTTTTTTTTATCCATATCAGAAACAAATGCAAGCAAAAGTCATAGAGAATACTTTTTTTTGGTTTGGAGAAAAGATTTTCCCATGCATTTGATCTTCCCCAGAATATCAAGTAATTGAAGATCCAACATATGATCTTTATGGACAATTAATTTTTTTCTGTTTAAAAAATGTAATATTCTAGATAAACAATGTAACGAATTTTATTAAAAAAACTAATAACCCCTCGGCTTTCTTAATAAACGGAGATAAAAAAGGTGTTAGATTTTGTAAATAATAAAAATGCAGAAGATGGGTTTCGAACCCATGCGCTAATAACATTATACCTCATTATTTTAAACACCGAGGTGACATGTCTTTACTTTTTATGACAACCTTATTTACTCCGCTTCTAATGCCGAGGTAAAACGCATTTCGCGTCTGATGTTAGATGCGTTATTTGTAGTAGCGTGTGATTCTGGATTCTTAAGAAGACTTTGGTTGTAGCCATGGTGGATTTTCAATAAGAATCGACGAATTTGTTGGGGTTGTCAACAAGGTTGATCAGACTTATTATGGTTGTTTGTAACCAGTTGATTATAGTGGAATAAGTCCTTGTGGATAAGGAAAAACACCTTACGGGGTGGACTAGAGTAACTTAGTCAACATAGAATCATCATCCAACAACCACACACTATTGTAGGTATCATATACACAAACTCATAGCAAATCAACATGGAATTTTCATCAATTTCAACATAATTTCATCACAATGCAACATAACATCAAAATCATTAAAGACCCCATCAAATCCCTACATACCTCTAAACCTCATATCAATTATAATGACAAATCACCTCCCCTTTACCTTAGATTCCTATCTTGATCTTTCCTCTTCGTGATCTACTGGATTCCTCTATGTTCTTCGTGCCCTAGCTTTTTCTCTGCTCTTCCAATATTTTCACGATCGTACACATTGACACTCTTTTCCTTGTTTAACCTTAGGACCCCTAATATGTTTTATCCAATTTGTCCTCACTTAACCTTTCATCAATTACCACCTTGCCCTTATCTTCTCTACACCAATTATTTTTTTATTTTATTATTAATAATAATTCTAACTAATTTTAAATAATTATTAACTAATTATCTAAATTACTAAAATACTCCTTACTCGTCTAAATTCCCATTATCCCACAACATAACAACACATCACACATCATATTCAACAAAATATAATATTTTCATCAATATTATATAAATATTTCTAATAACTCATTTAAATAATTAATTCTAAAAATCGGGAAGTTATAACTACCTCTAATCTCTCTTTGAAAAGGGTCCAAAAAATCCTCCTTTACTATGCCAAATGAGTCCTTTAAATAGAGATTAGCCTAAGGTTTTCTTGTGTGAAATGCTTTTCTGTGTTGGATTGAAATTGTTGAGAAACAAACTTGCAAATTTCTGCTTGAAAGCCCAAATTCGAAAATGCCTCACTTTAGTCAAATAATCCCTTTTGTTTGCGCTGTTTTGTGTTGATAATTGATGTGTTAATCTTGGGCCTGATTAGTATGTTAAGAATTTTGTTTGTAATTTTTAGAATGAACTTGATAATTTTTGGACTGGTTTTATTTTGGACAACACATATGTTGAAATGAGTTTGAATTGAATCAATGTGGATTGGTTTTGTTGAAATTGTAGTTTATGTTATTGGAATGAACCTTTATGAATTTCTAACTTCACCCTTTCCAATTGCTTCTTTTTTTCATGTATTGATGATGGAGTTAGATACTTGAAGATGTAAAGCTGAGGCTAGCATGGAGAAGATGGGAAGTCCAAGGTCGAAGAAGAACAAAGCTGTATGATATTCATAGAATTTTTAGGTGTAAAATTTTGAGATGCTACTAATGATGTATCTTGAAATGAAATTAGGATTTAGGAATTTGAAACTTTTCTTGTATCTTGAATTCTTCTAGTAACATTAATGGTGGAATTTGAAGTTTGTAAAGGAACTTGGATTCTTTGTGATGAAATGGTGTACCTTGAATATTCTTTGTAGCTTTTGAATTATTTTAAAACTTTCATAGAATTTTGAGGTGATGAATAAAATAGTGTAAGCATTAGAAATTGGCTTGAAGTTGCTCCTTAGTAACATGATAATGATCTTGATACTTAGGCCAACGAATTCCCTTGAGATTTGGCTCCTTGAATTCAAAATTGATGAACATGAATTATCTTTGAATGACCTTGAAAATTGAAATGATCGCCTTGAAAGAAAATGCTTGAACACTTTGATGAACTTGACAAAATTGAATCATTTAATCTTGAAAACTTGAATTGGACATAGAAACTAGAACTTGAAACAACTTGAATCTTCCTTTAATTTGTAATTTTCAAACTCATGAAAGTAAGAAATTTCCTCCATCTTTTGAATTTGAAAATGAAGCTTTGAATAAACTTGAATCCGTGGATTTTGAATCTTGAATGATATTGTAAATTGAACTTGAAATGGATATCTTGAAAAATGTCACGGTTCTTGACTTGATGACGAATAATCTCAACACACAAATCAATATGAAGTAAATTCTAAGTAGAAAATGACCTATAATATTTAAATAAATTTCATGGCCTTTCAAGCACAATTGACTATTGATCCATGAAGCAAGAATAACTTGATCTTTTCTTGCAATCCAAAGCATTTTGAAGCACATAGGAGCTTAGAATGATGATGGCTTGACTGATCTTTGATTGAATGTTGCAAAAGTTAAAGTTGCTTGATGAAGAATGCATGAAAATAAACACATGAATCTTTTGACTTTCTTGATGAGTAAGCTAACCAAAATTTGACCAATCTTTGATCAATTGAGGATGAATGATGCATGAAGATGATCATGCCTAATATTATAGGTCATGTCTTGACTAATGAGCCTTTGAGGATCAATATTTTACTTGAGAAACTCAAAACCTTAGATGATGAAACCAAACATGATGCTCTTGATTCAAACTTCTACCTTGAAAAATAAAAAAAAGAAACAAAGCAGAAAATTTTGGATTTTGATTAAGGTTAGTAAACATAAAGCATATGAACAAAAGGTACAAGATATACAAAGAGGATGCTAGTTGATCTCTACAAAGGCAAACCCAAATATGAGAGGGTTAGGAGGAAACCAAGTATGTGTTCTTGATGAAACGCAAGGATGCAAAATGAGATGAAATTTTATGGGTAAAAATTAGGATATGACAGTGGGATCAGGTATATATAATGTCATGAAATGTGTTTACAATAACATATTAATGTTTAAGTAATTTGCTATTATAATTCAAATCACGTGATATTCAATTTTTTTTCACTTTTTTATGTAGATGTTCAACGACATGACAACTTTCTCTACCGAGGACTTAGAAGACGTCTGTAAATGTTAGACATTTATTTTCAATGCGTTGATTGAAAAGGTGGGTGCTCCTATATGACTTTGTCATTTGATGGTTGTAAACATATTTTTGTTGCCTAATTTGATATTTTGGGAATATTTTGCTAATACATGTATGATATAAGTGATATTTATAATCCTGATATTTTGTATAAAGGTTAATTATGAAGAAAAAAATACTGGTATATAATATGTGGAAAAATAAAATAATTTAAAAAAAAAGGTATTTAGTCACGGTTATTATAACAACCATTGTTATAGATAAACTGCAAAATATGAAAAATCACACAATCACATAATCACTGGATTTCCCACTACCTTTTGCTTTATATCACAACAGTTTTACACTTTGACTGTTATGATATATAGCGTGCTACCTAGTTTATCATAATTGTCCTAAGGTCGTGGTGGAAAGCAACTTGCATACATTGACATCTTACCTCACAACGGTTGGTTGTTCGTGGTTGTATCTATTTTTTAACCGTTGTGGTATGACTTTTCCATAATAGTGAAGTCATAAACGGTGATCGCGCGAGACCATAGTTGATGAGAGATGACTTTTCATAGTTAGATGAATTCGATGTAGAAATACGTGGAAACTAAAAGTCGATTTCCACATAAAATATCATTATTTGGGGTGGAATGAGAACAGGTAGGTGTTAGAAGAATAAGCTCTTCCAATGCGGCAATGAGAGCTTCAGGTACGAAGGAGTTAAGAGAATCTTTAAGATTAGTACTCTAACGATCAAATCAATAATAACGTAAATATGTAGTTTAATAGTGAGAGTGAGATAACACCTGTAAATAATGCATGGTAGATTTATATTTGACATGTGATTGAAACACAATCGATCAAATCTAATGGCAGACAACACATAGGTGATTAAAATCAAGTTCAAGCCTGTCTTACGAAACTCTCCTCATAATTATCAGTTGTACTTAGTGAAAATTTAAATCGAACCTTTATAATTGAGTATGCGTTGAAAGCAGTCAACCGACCGATAACACATTTCTAATAATCCAACAAAATGAACTTATAAAGTGAACAACACATCCTTCCTTTGTATATACTCCTATGCTTTTTATTATAAATTTTATAATAAACATGTTATATTATATTATTAATCGCTTTACAATACAAACATTACTTATGAATATTTATAAAAAAAAATTAGAATTTGTGTTTTTTATAATAATAAAAGACAATTCTATAAAAAAATTATATATACCTTTCTAAAAGGTGATTCAAATTTAGCCATAGCAGGTAGTTTAATATAGGCTTGTAGAGTGTCTAACCCTTAAAAACAATATGTATGAAAAGAAAAACACTTTACAAGGGCCTGGCCTAGCTACTGTCTAGCAACATGCATGATGACACACCTTATTATGGCATAGAAATTAATGCAAACCCAGAAAAGTAAAGAGTAATTAATAGACCCCACTCCAGTTTGCATCAAGCTTTTAGCTGCAGCAGTTCTTGAAAACGAAGGATTCCCTTCATTAACTCTACTTGTCCCCTCTCTACAATCAGTCTCTCTCACTCTTTTTCATTTAGACATCATGCATGAAGTATATATTACTCTACAATGCTACAATCCATCCCCAGTTATCTATATCTGTAAATTTTTTACTTATATAAGAGGATATTTTTATTAAATTTGTGGTATAAGAATTACTTTCTTTTTTTCTTTCAACTAGCATCCTAGTCAATGTTTTAAAACTAAAATAGGTAATCAATCCGTTCAAGACAATACTACTCCTATATCATTAAATCATTTGCATCAATAGTTTATTGATCAAATGGACAACTCATTAGTCTAACTGCATAAATATTAATCATACGATAAGTAATTACTTTTAACAGCAACAAAGAAATAAAATAACAATTTAAACTAGTCATACGATAAAAAGAAAGATCAATTTTTAGAGTTATAAAAGTTATAGAGATAATAAATAAGAGATCCTTAAAATTATAAAAATTTCATATTTTGAATTGATACACAAAGAAAATATTATTTTAATTTTTTTTTCAATCCTCAAAATATCTTACCAACCAGTCGATTTGCTGGTTTGACTATATACCAGCCAAATCATATCAATTTTTATTAAATTTATTAGAGATTTAATCTTTTAACTTTTCAATCATTTTTATCCGTAACTCTCAATTGATTTTCGATCCAACCGATTCAACCAATCAAGAGTTTAAAAGACTGATTCTAGTAGTTGAGTATTGTTTGTTGAGATTTTATAATAACAAATCATAATTCATGACTATAAAAATATATATAATTAAAGCAAACATTTTAACTCAAGGAATGAGATTTAAAACATGAACTAGCTAGTGATTATAGTGATTTTTATTGCAAAATATATAGGTCTAGCTAGCTTCATATAGATCTTAATGCGACAGCTTAACAATATAAACTAAAATGTGATCATAAACATATAATAAACACAAGTGCATACGGAACATATTCTCAAATTGATTCTCTAGCCATATCCATCTCCGGCAGTCTATATTTATTTATAGAATTATTTCTACTTATAACATATATGTATACTTAATATCAGAAAATACAATATTATATATAGATATTGATGCAACTAGTAAGCTATATGATACCCCAATTTTACCTACTTCCTATTTTTATATATGTATTATTAACCTACCTACCATTCAAATATGGTAGCTGAAAAATCTGAATTATAATTTTCATGGAGATGATGTTCTTCATCAATAATCATCCTTTCAGAATATGTTATCCAAATTATTCAAACAAATTAATATATATTAATCAAGATGAGGAGACATAAACTAAGAGCTTAACCTTTTTTTTTTTTTATAAAATTTTGTGTGCAGAAATATGTGCATATTATATACATACCTTGCTTATGGAGTTTGATGAGACTGGTAAATTTGGAGATGGAAACAAGATATTGACGCGGCTCAATCAAACTACATGGCTGCTATGATGCATTTTTATAGCCATGTCGTCAAATTGAGGCGCGTCAATATCTTGATTTGCGTTCTGCATCATCCATTTCATTCTCCAAGCTTCATCTTTAATCCTATAATTCATGGAAAATAATTCAAGAAATAAAAAAAGAGCACAAAAATAAAGTTAGAGAGGAAGAATACACCAGCATATATAAAATTTCATACCTTAATTTTTCCTTGCTAAGATATATATATAGTATGTTTCTTCCTAGTTTGCAAACTTTGCAGCTTATGAAGAAGCATAAAGAAATATAAGATGACTAGTATAGTATCACTGTGTGTATGTTTGACCAATGAACATTTTCCCACGAATATGCAACTATTAAATAGATAATTAATTATTCTATCCTAATTTCAAAAAATACTTTAAAAAAAAAGACTAGTCAAGTGTTGTTTTGTGTAGATATATGTAGTTGTGAATCAAAATATCGAAACTACCTTGCAAATCACAACAAATATTTCATTGAGTGAATTAAGAAAGAAAGGTTGTTATTGGAAATTCATGTATGCATGGATGCCTTCAATGAGGAGAAATATAGGGTCTTTGATTGGGACTGAATGTCCATTACTATGGCTTACATTATTAGATATATATTAATTAAGTTGTTATGACTTACACCAACCATTATGGACCACTAGATTGCGACGGCAAGACAATGAATGCTTCATTACATTTGAAATGGGTTTGTGTTACTATAAAAATTATATTTGTAAATTATAATTTGTTTTGATAACTTGGTTTGAATAATGTTTTTGTTTCTACAATATACATCAATTTTGGTTTTGTCAATGTAAAGCAATGGTTTAACTTTAATGAGGTATCAATGTAGATTAATGAAATGTGTATACTATCAATCATAAACAATAAAATTGAAAAGAGATTTGGATTTAGAACCTTCTAAATTTGGGGTGGGGATCTTAATAATATATATATAATGAAAAGAGATTGTGAAACATAAAACCTGAAAAGTAGATACTCATTGAGAAAACAATAAAAGAAAAGTAAAGAAGGAAAGAATAAAAAAACTTTTCAAAGAATAAAATAGAAAATAAAATGTTGTGTATCAAAAATAAAAGATAAAGTCACATATATTTTAAGATCGATCTCTTAAAAGAGTCGAATACTAAAACAAATAGTCAAATAGATGAATTAAAGAAGACAAAACTGCAAAAATTATTCGATTTAGTCTAAATTTATCCTATCTTAACTTAAATCCAATTACGATCCTTAATACCTCAAATGTGAAAGTGCAGTCATGTATCGTATGAGATCGTTTACTTG